TACATTGTTAAGAGAAGCTCATCCTACTTAAGTAAGTTAAGCTAGTGTGGCTTAGTGAGCAGTTCTGTAGCTTTATATAAACAAAATGTCATTAAGAATACTTACTGACAAAATAAGTCAGTGTTTGTGCAGTAAAACTAAACTAAACAATGAAAAGAAATACACTTTCACATCTTTAAAACATCTGCAAGATTCAAATGTCATTGAAGTGAGTCCTGCAGTTGTATCTGTATCCTACAGGCATCGACAAAGGTTGCATTAAAAAGTAAAACTGGTCCATGCAAGGACCTTTTATATTCACTGGAAAAGAACTGATGTGACACTTAACAAACACACTTAGAGGAATAAAGTACACTGTCATCATTGTTATGAAATACGACCAGGAGATCATGCGCCTGACTGAGAGGAAAAGCAGTTAAATTATTTTCTGAACAGAACAGCATTCTTGCTGCTTGCAAGTGCATCGCATCACGTTCACTTATTTCACACATACCTCAATGAGAAACAAAAACAATTGGGAAGAGACGGAATAGCAGGCAGAAAGATTGTCCAAAAGGAATAACGCATAAAAAAAAGGAAAGTCAGACTGTATATACAGTAGAAACACAATACTTTCTATGCTGAAAGATTTACTGGCCAAAGTCTGAAGTTTTTTTAATGAAGTATCTCATACAACTGGGCAGTATAGAAATGATTATTTATTTATTATTGATAGTGTTATAAAGTTGGGCTGCAAGGTGGCGCAGTTGGTGACCACTGTTGCCTCACAGTAAGAAGGTTGCCAGTTCGCGTCCCGGTGGGGGCACTGGCATCTTTCTGCGTGGAGTTTGCATGTTCTCTCCGGGTTCTCCGGCTTCCTCCCACACAGTCCAAAAACATGTTGAGGTTAATTGCTGATTCTAAACTGTCTGTAGGTGTGAATGTGAGTGTGCTTGGTTGTCTGTCTCTAAGTGTAGCCCTGTGATGGACTGGCGACCTGTCCAGGGTGTCCCCTGCCTTCACCCTAAGTCGGCTGGGATAGTTTCTGCAGCTTTCTCCCCATATAGCAGCAAATGCAAAGTTAGGCAGCAGGTCTCCTTCACTCGAGAGAGCTTCATTTTATAACTATTCAATCAAAAATCGAGCACATCAGTCTGATTACATTAGTCCAGTTAACAGGACACTGAAATATGAGTAAAGTACGCACATATAACATAAGAAAGTACAGGTGTTACATTTTAGAGTGCATTTACAGCTCCATCTGTTTATAGGAAGAATGGAGAGGCCCTCAGCAGACCCCTGAGAGGTTTAAAGTATGCCGGCCTCCTGCAGTCTCCCAGCAAACACATTGAATACTCGGCTCTGCACGGACAGGCCGGTTTTAATTCAGCCTGGGCCTCATGAGGAGGTGAACTAGTTGGATCCCAGCCAGGTAACTAGCTCAAACTATCGGAAGACATCACCTTCCACCTCTGCATGCCTTTGCCTCTTACTTGCAGTCGGTTCGCTCTCTTGTACTGCTAATAACGTGTTTGTTAAAAGCAAACCTTTTATCCAATGACAAGGCATGACAAGGGCGCATACAAGCCCTTGCAAGAGATATGAGCATCAATCTGCCACCTTCACTGTGCAAGTTCCTTCATTTCCCTACGCTGACTCATCCAATTCCCTCCCCCCTTCTTTCTCTGTCTTTATTGCTAGAAGCTTCCAGCAAGAATCATCGTTGGCAGTGGAGCCCTTCTGCAGGCTTTGCCTCTGATTTACTGATTGATTGTAGCATTAACGACCACCCCCTCCTTCCAACTGCCCCTAACACACACACATACACACATCCATTGTTGGGCCTCTGCTGTGGCTTGAAGATAAAGCAGCAGTTGCAAGCTGAGCCTGGAAGCTAAGGTCTTGACAATTCATGGATGCAGAGAGACAGATGTGGTGAATTTCTCATTTCTACTGAGTGCACTGAATGACAAATCAGTGAATTGGTGAGAATTTGGAAGGAGCTGCTCATTGTGATGCACCACATACAGAGAATTGTCAACGAAATCTCCTCTCCTTGGCTTCACAACGGTTTACAGTAAGTTTAGCTGTCCACATTCAACTTCACTGACTGGGTTCACTCTTACTACTCCCATAGCAATGTTTACAGACAAGCTGGTGAATACAGTGGAGCGTTTATAGCAGCCGAAGAGACAGACGCTCACTTCAGGAGTTGGTGGATGTCAAAATAAGAGAGAGAGAGAAAAAAAAAAGACAGAATATTGGGACTTAGATTTACCATACAAGCCAGACACAAGACTCTAAATGAATAAGAGGCCAATAAAGGCAGGAAATTCTAATTGCCTGAAGCCAGTTTGCCATATCAATTTAAAAGGATATAATATTATTAATATGGTTGCATTCAGTGTGTTTCTGCTGCCTCCAAGTGGCCAAAAAATTCTGATATTGCGAATTTTTAGTGACACTAAAGCAGAGGATAAAGCATGTTCAGTGTTATATACATGAAAAATCGAGCTCTTAAGCAGCATAACATACAACACATACAAGTAGTTTGCAGCTGATGTTAACACACTCAGGAAAGATTAGTTATAACTCTTTCCTACTTGTATGTTTGTTGCACTGCATGTTACCATTTTAGCATTAGGACATGCATGTTTTTCTTACACATGATGGCATTGGCTAGAGTTTTTAAAACCTTTTAACCTCCTAGTTTGCAGCAGCAGACTGTGCCACTTACTGCACAGATTTGGAGACCCAAAGAAGAACATTGCACTGGATGTATGGTTTCCAAGCCCTGACATGGCCACATCATGACCTGCAGCCATGCGATAGCCATGAGTTTAAGTAAGTGATTAAAAAAAAAAAAAAAAGAAACAAGTTCTATGTGGAAAAACAAGCCTATTCTTTCCCATATATTTTTTTTTTTTACAATGACATGCAATTAATTGTTTAATTGGTGTCCACTGGTTCTAAGTGGAAAATAAAAACCATGCTGACGGACTCTGAACCCTCTGCTTACTGATACATGAAACATAAACGTCTGTCTCATCATGATGATACGTCACATCGTGTCATTGGGCCTTTTTTACCTCCTAAAACAGGAAGTTAAGTAAACTACTCAAGTGACAAATAATACGTTTTCAGTTTTGTTTTTTTGAAAACCACAAGACACAAGGATCAGATTACTTAAAAAAAACAAAAAAAACTTTTGTTTGCCCAGTTAACTCTACTGAATGACAGGACTGCTTGCTGTGGGTGTTTTGTTGATTTTTGTGAACAATAACACAACCACAACGTGCACCACAAAACGGTATCATTTACAACAGCTATCTAAGAATTGTGTGTTAAGGCGATGTAGACACATGGGACAAAGTGCTGCTTTCGCTGAAATGGATTAAATGTTGCTTTTTTTTCATATTTAAGCACATTATTTGAAATAATAATAATTATAATGTAAGCGTGGCTATCCCACTTTTGCATATTCCTGTGATGGACCTTCTTGGTTGTTCAGAAAAGGAGCACAGAGATAACTACGCATAATTCGGGTTGTGGGGTGTTTTTGCACTTCTTGTATTCTGTTAATCAAATTAGTTTATGACCAGTGTACTCTCTCTTGCAATGACTCATTTTATTTTAAATAGTTGGTATTTTTTGGCCTGTGGACAGTAAAAAAATATTTTAAGAGGGGGTCTGTTGTGTCAGGAATAAATGTCTCCCTGGTGTATTTGTTTGTGTGCTATCTCTTATCAGTAACCATTTTTACAAGAGTGCGGGTGTTGGGTTACGAGGAGACACACAAGTCACTGTCAGGATAGTATGAAGCACATATAGTACACTAATTGAAACCATCCTGGTGTGTTTAAACACATTCTTATCATGACTTGGTAGTGGCTGTGACCTTGTGCCTCTTCTGCAGTGTTTACTGAGGGAGTGGATGCAGAACAGCACAAAGGTTTATTATTGGTAGTAAGAAAACCAGAGAAAGTTTAGATCTGAACTAAACTCTAACCACTGCTACAGCACAGGTGATCACCAGCATGAATCTGAGAAGAATGAAACTTCTTTTCTCAATAAGAGGCAAAGACCTTCCTTCAGATATGCCTCAAGCAAGACAGGGATAAAATGACCAATAACACACATTGTTCAAATAATAGAAATGTTTGCTTTTAAGGAAACCCTACTGCCTCGGTTTTATCTTTACTTAAGAGGTGGATACAGACGCAAGAGAAAGAAAGAATTAAAACCAGAGCCACCTCTGTTGACCTAATGTACAGTTTGACTATAATCCTTAGACAGAAGTCAATGTCTCCAACTTAACAAAAAATTCTGTTTTGCCCTAATAAACCTGGCACTGCCGCTATGTGGTAATCTTAAGAGACAGCGGATGGATGGACACATAATCTTTAGGAGGCAGTGGACAAAATCTTGATTTAGAAAATGGCAGGAGTACTTTTTGGCAACCTGCTCTATCCTTCTCAGACAGTGTGTGTGTGTGTGTGTGTGTGTGTGAGACAATGTGTGACAGATAGCTGCATGGGGAGAGCTGGGGGGAAAACAGATCTGCTGAGGGCAAATTTCCATTCAGTTAAAGTCTGGGAAAAAAACAAACAAACAAACAAACAAACAAAAAAACAACAAATGAAAAACTTCACCCTGCCCAACAGTTACATCGCATAATTCTCAAACAGGACTCTGTGCTGCTTACTGGATTGAGGTCATCGTCCTTGTTTCATGGCATCTCAGCTGTCGTGGAAAAAACACACTGGTTAATAGCTAACACGGCAAGTTTTTTTGTTAATGGATTCCATCAACTGCAGTCTGTAAACACTCAGCATTCAAGAATTGGTCACTGTACAGGAATGTTAAATAAACTTGGAACTACATATTAACCAATGAATGGTACATCATGGAAGACTGCCCTCTAGTGTGGGAATTACAAACTGCAACCAACTCTAACCTTATGCTTGGTTGCATGTGGATCCTGTCAGTGGAAAATTAATAATACAGGCCTCTCAAAAAGCTCACATGCTTGTCATCAAACATTTATTCAGGATAAATAACTGTGTAAACCTTGTTACAAGTACTTAACAAACCAATAGGTCATAGTGGCTTAACTGAAGGTGTTTCCTACACTGTAACTCAAGTGAGGTGAAACCATGCAAGCCCACAGTTGGTGGCTGAGCTGAAGACACTTCATTTCTGCACACTGAAAAACACAAGTGCTGAGTGGGTTATTTTCACCTTTGACATGAACAAATTTAGGTGAAATGCTGAATGTTTTATAGCGACACATGAGCTCTATATGTTTCGATACAGTTTGTTCCAAACAACACAGTAAAAGACAGTTGTGACTAAAGTATACAAAGTGCTGCTACGCTGCAATAAATCATCTATAAATGCTGACTTTCACAGATGAAAATACTACATGAGAGTTTTGAATTTGCTAGTTTCATTTCCAGCTTTGTTTAATGATGTCTGTGGAACATTTTTAAAAAATGCAAACAAAAACAAAAACCAAACAAAAACAAAGAAATTCTCCATGAGTGCTTTCTTGATTTCTTCCCCTTCAAGAATTTTTGAGAAGAAGGTGAGGCTTTATCATCAACAAAAAAACTTAAAGTAAAAAGTCCTGGCTTCTTTCTTTCCATGAGAAGGACTTACAAGTACAGACTCATACAGCTTTAGAACCTTTTCGGTGAAAAAAATGCATCTTTCAAAACTTGATGTGCAGTTTACAGTTGGGATTATTAAAAGCGAGTCCATCCTTGCACCATTTTCTCTAATATTTGTGGAAGCAAACTCTGGATCAGTGACTGTATTCACAACTGCAACGTGGCGGACGTCTGTGACATTGCGTTGTAAATGAAAGTATTGTTAAAGGGCACAAACTGGTGGCTGATGATCTTGATGGCCTCTTGAGCAGCTGAACCTAAACAAACACATTGACAAAGGTTTCTGACTTTTTGGCACTGTTTTGGGGAGACATGCTGTCTGTAGAAATCAGGGATTGATTAATTTAAAGGTTTAAAGGTTCTAAAAACTTTACCTCCTAAAAATGCAGAAACCGTGTGTGGCTCTGCCGCTCCGTATCGACAGCTGAAGGGGTAAAAAGGTTCATCAGTATTTGGCGCAGTTTTTAACAAACACTTAATGACAAAATTCTGCAGCAACCAGGACTTACAACTCATGGATATAGTCGTCTTTGATGTTGACGTTGAGGCTGTATTCCTGCAGTAGGCTGTTCACACAGAGCTTCAGTTTGCTGATGTCCTCTTCCACCTGGTAGTTATAAACACCTGGCATAAAAGGCAGAAAAGAAGACATGAAACTCTTACAATGATTCTATTTCTGTCTTTTGGCGTCAGGAGGAAGTAAAATCAGACAAGAACATGTGCAGTACAGTGTGAAATGACAGGCCTTTCCTGAATGTGTGGAAGGTATTCTCCTGACATACCAGACAGGCTTTTTTTTTGCAGAACTACAGAGTTTTCCAGAACTGTTTGGATGGTGGTATTATTGGGTGTACAGTTCAACTGCGATCATTAAAAGACCCGACAAGTGCTAAAAATGTTAAATGACAATCATAAAATAAAACACAACTGTAATGCTCATCACCTGCAGAGTTAATTAGATTTTTAACATTGCAGCAGCTACCAGTTTTTTCTTTTTTTACTTCTCGATTGCCACATTAGCATTTTTCTAAAAATAAAATCTAAAATAAAAAAATCTGACTATAAACGTCACCTCTCTAAGCACAAGCTGGTCTGACAGTGATCGAAAATCTCCACCTTGCAGAAAAATCCGAAACTTAGCAAATACTGAAAAAAATTACTGATTTTTTTTTTTTTTTTTTTTTAAATTGTAAGGTTTGACGTCAGTTGCATGGAGCTGATTCACATCTTGTTTGGTTTAATTCTTGTTCAGTAAAATGTGTCATACCTGGGTAGCGGGAGTGCTGTTGATAGAAGCGATCGATAGCGCGAAGCATGAGGTAGAAGACCATCTCGCTATCTGGATTGTCCATATATGAGGCTGAGAAGACACAACAACTGTTAATATCCTTACACCTATGTGTAAATACAAAGAGTTTAAACAACAACAAATGTCATAAAGGGATTTAATCCACTACTTACTGATTTCATCTTTGTTTACTGAATCCACACTATACTCTTCAGCCAGAGATCTGCAGCGCACCACTCGCAAAAAGGATGCATTCTTACCTAACCACCAACATATATGTTTACAGTTGAGGTTAAAATTAGTGTAGTTGTAGCACAACTCGTCACACTATACTTTTATCAGTCGAGTCCACACAATGACAGGATAACATGTTGCAACAGTAGACAAGTTCAGAAATATTAAAAACTTTGATGTCAGAGAAGAGAAAACATGACAGACATGGTGCTTCAGAATGCAGTTTAATTTACAATCTGCAATAGGGCAGTTTTGCTTTAGAAGGCATGTTTATGTTGTCAACACATAAATTACCACAAAGAAACAATTCAAGTTGATGTAATTTTAGGCTGCTGTATTTGAAGCAAAACAATTTTAGCCAATTTCCAAGCATTATACCTGTAACTTATTTAAAAATGTACTTATCGTAGTATAGCAGAACCCCAAGTCAACATCGCAAAAGAAAACAAATGCTTCTAAAACTCATTCTTACAGTGTGTGTGGGCTATTGGCCTCCTCTGGTTGCCATCAGATGTGTTTGCATGTAAATACATCCAGCGAATATAAAAAAAATGTAAGGGGTGTCAAAGAAAAAACAGCGTACTTACAGAACAGTTTGATGTCCTTTTCCGCAATGCTTTCTGGTGGCTAGTGAAAAGAAGGGTACACATCATGAGGTGGAAATCACTGTTTGAAGTCCAATGCATTTTAGGTAATGCAATTTCCAACCACATATTTGAGGGAAAAATCTATTAAATGTAGTAACTTCATCCTGTCATGGCTATTCTGCAAGTCTAAACCAAAAGCCACAATAAAGACACAAAGATGATAAAAGCGTATTTCCAACAAAATAAATAATATCTAATGACTTAATCAAATGTGGCTTCGTGATTTAGTTACACTTGTTTGCATGCAGCTGTTGGATCTACATACATATGTGTGATGAATGCACAGTGTTTTATTGTGCTTTGTGGGTGAATCTGTAGTGTCATGTATTATCTTTTGACCACTATTTTGATGAGGTAAATGTTCCTTAAATTACCCTGTAAGCAGCTAATTTTCAGAAGCATTGCTGCTGTAATACATCAAATGTAGCGCTTCCTAGTCACAGCTAACTTGTCACACCTATTGCACAAGAGTAGAAACGTAACAGTTTAAGTAAGCACTAAACTCAGATGTCACTGACTTTTATAGACTTACTCAAAGGCGTGAGGCTAAACTAAAATGCCTGTATTCAATGAGTACATGGGCTCGCTACATACCTTTCCAACAGACTGTAGTAGACATTCTATGTGCTTAGAAACAGCTGCTGTATCCTGCAAGGCCTTTTCCCTGTAACTGTAATAAAACACAAAAATGTAAATACTTTCACCCACAAACATAAAACCATGTAGTGTTATAATGAAATGCAGTACCAGGTTTACTGTTGGATCAGAGAACTGTTAAAATACATTTCCGTTGCCGTCACTCCATCCACAAATTTATCTACACAGCTAACACCCACATATTTCACACTTACACATTCTGAAGGTTGATGAACTTCTGAGAATCTGCGATCATGTCTGGGATGGTTCCCCGTACAGGTAGACTTCCAGTTCCTTCGTTGTGAACAAATTCCTTGACAGCTCGCAGCATCACCCAGAAGGACGAAGTCTAAACAAGCACAAAATATTCTACAGCTTTATATCAGATACTTATTGCTACCAGTTCTTAGAATCTACAATAAAAAAAAAAAACATATATTTAATGGAATGTTTTTTAAAGAAAAAGTCAAAACCTGTGATGTGATGTTGTTACACTGCTCACTATTGAAGAGATCTTCAACAGTACTAGGAATCTGCAGAAACAACAGATATTACAAAAAAAGAGACTTGTTAGACTTAACTGTAAACTGTGACAACAGCGCTATTGGGGGTTTAAAAGCTGAGAATTGTTGTGTGGAGCTGAGATAACTCTTAAAAACACAAGAGAACCTTGGTTGGATTTAAAGCAGTATTGACATTCTTAATAGCTTCCTCAAAGTTTTCCTCATCCTCTGGGACACCATTCTCATTCTTCAAGATCCCTGATAAAAAACAAAAAAGAACAAAACAAATAATAAGAATAAATCACAGATACCTTGCAAAGTAAAGTCATTGGACTTAAAGTCCACTACAATCCAGGGGGGTGCAGATACCTTCCCGAATAAACTGTCTGAAGGCCTCTTTCTCCTTGTAATTTTTCGGTGGCAGACAGTTGTGCTACAATGACAAACAACAAAAGCAGAGTAACATTTTACTGTACAGCATCGCTAAATAATAGCAGTCACAAATAAATACAATTGGAGCAGTATTTATCAAACATCTCAACAATGGAAAAAACCCAGAAAAATGTACCAACCTCACTAAGCCATTTCTCCAGGTATTTAGCAACAATGATAACCCACGGTGTGTGACTGTGATCCTATAGATTAGACATAGAATGGAAAAAAATAGTTGTGTAAAGCTCAAATAGTTTAAGCTCAATGATGTGCATATATGAACTGAGCCCACACCTTCTTGTCCATGCTGTCCAGGTCATAGGACTTAATGTGGTTCTGAAATTCAGCAAATGGTTGGTCTAATCTCAGGTCCTCCAAGGCATTGTCTGGATGAGATTCAATCACTGAAGAAAGAGGCAGTAAAATATCAATACATTTACAAAAAAAATAAAAAAAAATGCAAATATGTTTCACTGTGAACTGACATAATTACACATTTGTATTTATCACACCAATTAAAATATGTTGGGTGACATAATATGAAATAAAGCTTACACAACGTACATAGTGGGGCTACTAACCTGTATGCTCCTGCACCACTAGTCTCATGTAACCAATCAGGCCGTAGGTTTTACAGACTAGGAAAGGTACAGGTGCACTCCACAGAACTGAGCCAAGCCTCAAACACGTGCTGTGGAATTTTAGACAAAGATCTGACAAGTTATTGGGACAGAAAATACAACAACAACAACTCAAGCCACTCCTAATAGCATTTCTTCAAAATACGTTAATTTGTACAAAAGAAGAGACACTAAAAGCATTTTAATGACACCTTACCTTTCTGGCAACTGGACACCAATGACTATGGTAAATCTATGGAAAAACTCTGGATCGTTGTCCAGGAGTTTGTCTGGACTCTGCAGGAGTGACCGAAAATACAAGGCAGATCATCAGTATCAGAGTGATGATACTTATTAATGCATTAACACAACATATATTGGAATCAACCTGTAAGGAATATCTTATTGTTATAATGCGTTTCAGTAAGACGCAATATTGGCATTGATATAACAACTGTGTGTGTATTCAATTCCCAATGAAATATGAATGATGCCAAAACATCCGTGGCACCAGGTCAAAACTAAAACAATACCAACCTCCTCAACAAAGTTTCCAGAGACATCACTGTTGAGTTCTTGCAACAGTTCAGTGGCTGCCTGTGCTCTGTTCTGCAACATAAATGCTAACATAAGGGCTCATGCTAACATGCAAATACACAGTATTTTTCCTATTATCACTATTAAAAATAACTGTAAGATTAACAACAGAGGAGAGATGGATGGAGCACAGAGAAAAGTAGGAAATTGTGTGTCTGAGTGTCATGAAATTGTAAAGTTGTGTTAATTTGTTTCAGAAATGCACACCTTTCCAATGCTGCTGTTGCTAAGGAAAAAGCTGCAAGGCAAGATAAAGAGGTCAATTACAAACACGCACGTAAAACTGAAATATATTCTTGTAGATTATGTTCAGCTGTCAAAAAATTGACGTCTTACTTGTTTCCAACATCTTCCCCAGTGACTGTGTGTCCATCAACTATGGTGAATGCTCCAATACCTGACAAAGAGATCAATTTATTCAATCAGACTAAAGCTGCTACGATTAGTCAACATAATTGATGGTGTTGATGCTGACAATTCTTCGATGTCAATATTTTTAACCAACCCATGTTTTTTTTTTTTTTTTCAATTTCAATTTCAGTTCACTACTCTAAGCGTTAGTTTCAGACAATGGCAGTGAAAACAAAATCCTCAGATCAGTGTCAAAGTTTCTAAGGCTTTTCAAGCTATCACAGAACAAAGAGATGTTTTTTTACACTGTGCAGATTTTGGATGGTAGACTATAGTAGCATAGTGCAAGGCACCAGCAACTGAAAAGAAAACCCACAGGTTCTTCTCAGCGCAGAGGTGCTTTACATCTGTCTGCTGCTCTTCTGGTCTCATCTATACTGCATTTTGTTACAGCCAAATTCTCAATAAAGCTGCTCTTTGTTACATATTTTTCAGTTACTGCTGTCAGATAGCGGAATGAGTATGAAGTAGTGACAGAAGCACAGCCCCCACATGTCACTTTCATGCTCTGCACCAGAAAAAAAATAATGAAAAGTTTTATACAGTGACATTGTCTGAAAAAACACCATATATCAGATAAAAACAAATGCTGTGCTGTGAATCTGACTAGATTTTCCTAGAATATGTAGCTAATAATCAGAGAACTAACCAATAAGGTGACAAACAATTGCTTTAGATGGTCTGTCCTTGTATATTATCCACCATGTTGCAATTTGAATAGACAAAACTGTGTTACTTCTTTAAGGGGTTTAATAGAAACTTGGTTTTCTTTTGGTGTTACAGTATTTTCTTAAAAAATAAGCCATTTTTGAAAATATTTTCATCATGTTCAAGTTGCCAGTTTACCCTATATTTTTTTTAAAATTGAATATGTAAATCTTTGTGTGCGTTTTGTACTGTGCAGCATAATAAATAGACATATAGTTTGTTCATGTGAAATGAACTTAAATAAAGTGTCTTTATTTGGAGGAAAATTCATTGTTTAAATGTCTAATTGGTAAAGCAACCCATACATTAATCAACAGAAGAATGGTTGATGGTGAAAGCCTCAAATCAGACAATGTTTTCATCAGCACCTGCAACACAGAGCCACATCTATCTACCTGGTAGTACGAGGTTCTTCAGTATCTCTGTTCCAGTTGCTGTGGCGTTGATGAGACAAATATGCGCATTCTCCAGTGCTTCTTGGCCGTGGTCTCCCCACAGTCTGAAAGCACACAACATAACACGAACATGTTGCCATCTAGTGATACAATTCATTCTCAGCAGCAGTAAGAGCACAGTGAGCCGCTTTGCCAAACTGACTTGTTTAATGGTATGACAGCTTCCTTAGCATCGACTACTCTGCAGTGTTATACCGGTTAAACTATGAGCCCAAGTCTGCATAAAACATGTCAGGATTACTGCTGTCATTGGAGATGCTGGCAGCTTCTAAGGGGAAGCAGAGTCCAAGCAGACAATCACAGAATCAGTCCTGTAGCTAGCCAATGTGTTAGCTCTCTGATGCTGTTTTGACGATAACGCACACAGCAAGCTAACGGTGGCTAATGCTAGCACTCCTGTCTCCCAAATGTTTCTGCTGTGACCTCTCGCATAAAATGCTCGCAACATTAGCTAAAGGAATGTACTTTCTCTGTGACAACTCTGTGTGTTTTAAAATTACCTGAGCTGTCTGTCGTATTTCTGTTCTTTGGAGGCTTTAGTCGCTGCCATGATAGCTTCCCAACGAGTGACGTTTATGGACGCATTTTTTACTTCCGCATCCACAGATTCGACGCAAACGTGCCCGCGTGAAACTCCACACTCGCACTTTCGACACAAAAACTCACCCATGCTTTTTTATTGGGCATGCACAAATTGATAAACTGTCATTATAATTCATAATTCACTCCAACTCAGGGAGAAAAATACTACTTTAGTAAAAATTCCATGTGTTCCTTATAATAAGACATATTTTGGGGGGAAGCTAACCAGTAGCATGATTAAAATAAGGCCCAACTTACCCAGCTTCAACATTTGAGCTAAGTCCTCAATAATTCACATTTATTCAGCTACTGATGAGTTCATAACGTAATCCAGTATTTCCTAGATCTAAAAGCAGTCACACATTTCGGATTTCCCCCAAAGTATTGTAGATTGCCAAACTATATTATATAACATTTGCAAAACGAGGCAAATCATCATTGCTGACAAGCAGGATGTCTTTGTTTTTTCTTTACCAGATAGGTTTAGCAATGGCAATACATAGTTTGATTGTGTAATTCACACACACACACACACACACACACACACACACACACACACACACACACACACACACACACACACACACATGCATTGTAGATTAATAGCATTTATTTACTGCTTGTTGTATTGTGATCTTTGTTGGCTCTGTTGCTGTTCTCGCTAGCAGCGAGTTGCTGTGTTGAATAAAGTGTGAATAAAATAAATAACGATATGACAATCTATCCACTCTTCAGTATTTGAAATAAATACATTTGAGAAAATGAAAGAAAAAAGAACAACAACAAAAAACAACTAATTCTATAAAAATGCAATGAACTGCACAATGAAAGATTTTAAACAACCAAAATCTAAAAATAAGTAATAAATCAGTTTTCAGATTTCATTTTATAGTAGTATATAGAAGTACATCATGCTCCACGTAGGAGCATGATGTACTTCTTTTAAAAGGACTATTTTTATTCATTCAGCTTGGATTTCCTTTTTTCCCCCCATGTGTGCATTTGTGTGTGCGTGTGGTGTGTTTAAGTCTGTGCGTAAAGGGGCGTGTCACACACGGATAATTGCCCTCCCTTCCCCTTTGGTCTCTACATAAACTTCATCAATAGCTGTACCAGCTGATGTTCGTGAAGCACCGGTAGCTCGGACCTGATCCTCTAACCGGGACGATGACTGGGAACCACTGGGGATACGGGAAGGAGGACGGTAAGATAACGCAGCATCCAGGCTCCAAGCTGCAGTCTTTACTGCTCTGTCCCACGTGGGCACAATGGACAATGTGCAATAAATATTTACTGACTGGTCGTTGTACAGAGAGCAGTTCCCGTTTTAAGCAGAGGAGAAACGTAATTAAATGTTAAGATGCTTAACAGGCTGCGAGATTAGCTCCACGCTTAAAGGGATCACCTTAACCTGACATTCCTCTGGATTTGTTCTCCACTCCAGAGTGAGAAACATTTTACTAATGTCAGATTTGGTGGTGTTAAGTGAACTTCATTGATTTGTTTATTTTTGATGTGTATTTTGACGGTGTGGTCCTCCAGTAATGACACAAAAAAGTTATTCTTTTATTAGCTTGGTTCATTATCTCTAGGATAAGTTTTTTTTTTCTTGGCAGGTGACACTGTGACACAATTTTAAGCCTTTAAATTCCCCCATGAGCTTGAGCTGAAGCTGTATGTGCAGTAGTGTGGTTATCATGAATATGTAAGTTTGTCTCTTTTTACATTTGTTTCTCCATATATTAAGGTCCTACCCTGTGGCATAGAAACTACCCGGTTGCTGAGGGAAGCCGGCAATCCCCAATTGACATCATACCCCTTCAGGCTGTACATGATCACAGTCTGGGTCCGATAATCTTGAGCTATGATCACTGTACCTCCATTAACATCGCCAACAATGGACACTCAGTAGTTGTGGAGTTTGATGACTCAGATGACCGTTCAGGTGAGAATGTCTTCATTTGTGTTTACTTGTAAATTCAGTTTTAGGTTAAGTCTTCTAAGAAAGAAAGAATCAATCACAACCAACAGCTGATGTGGTGAAAAGAACATGTAAAGACACTAGACTAGGTAGTAATATCTTGCCAGAGAATATGGGCAGGGAATTATTGCCTGAGATCACAGTTCAGAGATAAACTTGATCTTTACTCATATATCTGCTGCCAGCCACATGCAATAGAAATCTTTGCTAAAAGTTCACTTTCAATAGACATGCGCTCCAAAAAGTGGGATTACGTTAATTTTTAGAAAGTGCAAACCGTGTGCGTAACTGACCATAATCAGAGGTTGAAAATAAACCTCTGATTATGCTGCAGGCAAAAGTGCAGCCAGCACTTAACTGTATGAGTGTCTGTCTGCTGGACAAGAGATATAATAACCTTTAAGCAATGTCAGTGGTTATTATGATAATATTTGTCTTTATCACTGGGTGGATCCATATTCACCACCCTATCATTACCATGAATGATAAGCTCGGAAATGTGAGCGATTTGGCTCAGACAATTTCCCTAGAGTGAGCAAATATCCGTTACTGTAAATAATTATTGAAAGGAGAACCGTGTGGAAAAAACAAGCGCAGCATTATCTGCATTTCTCCATAACTCAAACGAGGTGCACAAATCCCTTAAACCTGTTGCTGTCACTTGGCCATGTAAGCCAGGGTTTGGTTGTGCACATGCAGAAATGTTGCTGCTATTTTGATAAGAAAAAGAATTCAGTAATTCAGACTGATGACTATATCATTTCAAAAATCTACCTCTGAGTATTAGAATAGCAAACATGACTGAAGTTAAGATCGGTGATGGGCCGAATGTCATTATGACATAGCTCAAAGTTACTATTTTTCCTTGTTGGCCGATGGACATGAATTGCAAGTGGAATGAAAACAGCAATATCTGTATTTTGCATAGGATTGGTTATTTGCATCTCCCACTAAAGCTTATGCTAAAGATATGTGATAGCTGGTAAGGGAGGCTGTCTGTCTGCTCACGTCTTTGCTTTGAGTAAAAAAACGTGCTGTTGAAAGTCTTCTGGGTGTTACCAGGTTGACTCATCCTGTGGTGTGTGTGTGTGGTACCAAGCTGTTCGGATGATGCTCCATTCAGGATGCAAAGCAGTTTGTCTGGCACTCACAGGGAGGAGGGTTGAGGCTGCATGCATGTGTGTGGATGCCAAACCGTTTTTTTCTCTCTCTCTCACTCTTTTTTAAACATGTCTCTTCCATACAGTAATCCGGGGAGGCCCTCTTGACAACCCCTACAGACTGAAACAGTTTCACTTCCACTGGGGTGGAAAGGGATGCCATGGCTCTGAGCACACTGTTGAAGGAATGAGCTATGCATCTGAGGTCAGTGTTTTGGATCTAAATACAGCATGTTGGTGTCTGATAACAAAATGTAGCATACACGATTTTCAGATAAGGTGTGTTGCATTGTAAGGTGCATGTGTATTTTGCTGTGAAATACAATGGAAACATGGCTTAGCTGTGTACAGTTTCTTCTTGCGCTTTATATTTATGACCCTACAAACATTCCTATCGATGTTTTGAGCAACAGTGACATTTCATTCCTACTTTACTGCAAAAAAGAAAGCATTATATGGTAGAGAACGGGACAGATGTACTTATGCATGGCATGACAAAAAACTTGACGTAATTTATTCAGCTCTTTAAACCTGTTTTTATTCCCATCCTGTTTTCCTTTCCTCATCTAGCTTCATTTAGTTCACTGGAATGCTGTCAAGTACAAGAATTTTGGGGAGGCAGCAACAGCTCCAGATGGCCTCGCTGTCCTTGGCATCTTTTTAGAAGTAAGATGTTTCTCTTAAGTGTAATTTTTTTTCCTTTCTGTGTTGCTGTTTTGCAGTTGTTCTCATTGGTGTGCATTAACTCAGTTTGAACTGAAGCGAAGGCAGGATGTGTTGTGTTCCAGCTGACATTTCACACATTTTGTCAGGTCTGTGTAGCTCTTTTTGTACCACTGATATTTTTGTGCTTGTGCCGTCATTTTGGCACAGCGTGGTTGGCAGACTAAATTATCATTTTGTTTTTGAGCACAATTTGAAACACTGGGGGAAAAAAAATCTCAAATGCTGGTAGTGATTTCAAAGGTTGTTTAAAAAAAAAAAAAAAACTGTACCAAATGTATAAGTTCTCTCCAAATGTCACAAATCATATTAAAGAAGAATCAATGTCTCATGTAAGGCAGGTGACGACCACAGGTGGCTCCACGTGATAACAGATGCTCTGTACATGGTGAAATATAAGGTGAGCACTGGATTTTATCATATACAATATTTAAGAGCTACTTTTAGCAATATTGCAGTGCTGTAGAGGATGTTGTCTTTGTGTTTCTGTTACAGGGCAGCCTTACAGATTTCAAAGGTTTCAACCCCAAGTGCCTCCTCCCCAGCAGCCTCCAGTACTGGACCTACCTGGGGTCGCTGACCACACCCCCCCTGCACGAAAGCGTCACCTGGATCATCCTGAAGGAGTCGATCACAGTGTCTGAAAAGCAGGCGAGTGTTGCAACCTCAACCGCCAGACTGTGTACCAGACTTCCAACACTGTAGATAGAATATTTAAACTTAAGTACATTTTTTTCGTTCCGAGTTCTTTACATGTAATCCTCTGAAAGCTCTGCAAAATACAGAACAATATAAAATACAGTGGCATCACAGGGATGTTCAGTCTGCATTAGAAATCAGAAGGCCAGTATTTTGCTCTTTTTTTTTCTTCTTTTTTTGAATGAAGAGAATCACATTTTACTCTGTCCCTTTTATGTATATTTCTGTGTAAATTTTAACCACAGCATAGTTTTCTAATGACTTTGAGGCAAAAGAATTAGCTTCTCTCTTATAGTTAGTTTTTATAGTACTGTTAAGAGCAAAGCAGACTATACACCACCAATACTCTTAGTCATTATTCCAGGTCATGTAGCATAGCCTTCCACAGCAACAACCTCAATCTAGTAATCCTGGCTGCAAGCCAATAGTGGGAAACTGGCACACGCTCTGTATTTTCCTCAAGTCAGAGATCTGCCATCACTGCTTTAAAAGAGACAACTGCCATATCAGAAGTGAGCAAGCAAACATCTGTGATTCATAATGAATAAATGAGATGAATCATCATTTAAATAGGTACTTATATCTAAAATAACATGTTATTTGAAGACAAAAAGCAGCCTTTACAGTTTCTGCATTCTTCGATGCACATATTTATTTAACCCCAGAGTGCTACTGATTGCTTTCTTACAGTTATACAGTAAAGCCATTGACGTGCATCCTTATTTCTTTAATTTTAAGTGTGATATTTTCTCAGTGTTCAGTTTTGAATGACTTTTTGGACTGAAATGCTCAGTTACACAAATAGATATTGTGTTTATATATCTAAGTCAGTAGATGTTAAGACAGTGTGATGCTGCAGTTGGTCAGTCAGTTGTGACATTCGTGTTTCCTGCCCTACATAATGTTAGGCTACGCTTCACTGGGCTGCAGTGATCCATCTAGTCCTTTACTGTCAAAATCAAAGTTCAGCATCACTGGATTGCAGGTTTGAGTAGTTGTGGGGGTGATGGTGGGATTTACTTCCATGCTGTTTAACCTTGTGTTATATTTAGAGGCCAGAACAACAGTTGGCATCATTCACTGGGAATGCCATGTTTGGGTGAGCTTGTTTTTATCCGCCCCTCTTAGCGCTTTTCAGTTTAATCAGAAAGTTTGTGTCTGATAACCCCGGGTTGTTGACAAGTTAAGTTGAATAACTGACTCCAGCACATGCCTTCCAGATCCCCCTGTGAGCTGGCCCTGTGGCGACTGCAGCCAGTCTCTGGATTATGTTCTCACTCTTGGTTGATCTTTTCTTGTCTTGTTGCCCATTTTTAACTCCAGGCCTGTGCACAAGGAATCAAGAGTTTTAGTGACAGCGGCACCTTGGGTGTAGTCATGAATGATCTGTCTGTAAACCAATGTCCAAAGCATAGCTGGGGGTGAAGTATAAGCTGGGCAACTGGCCTCACAAACTATAACTCCAGGCCTCAAGCCTTTGATCCCCTCCAGTTGATTATCCTGATGGATGGATGACTAGATGGGTATAGGGCTTTAATTGAGAAATGCTTGCATGAAGACCCAGCAGGGAAAAGCCCTTATATAACAGGGAATTATTTTGTTTTTCATTTTCCTACATCAGGGTAGACATAGAGCTTCAGGGGCAATACTACAATTTGAATGGGTTGCGTGAGTAGTTTAAAGTTTTGAGAGTAGCATGAATTAAAGGGCAAGCCTGGTAATAGTCTGTATGTTCCTTTTCAACAAATACCATTAAAAGAACATATGTATTACCTGATCTTAAAAAAAACAACAAAAAACTGCTGTGTAGCCAACACATGATATAGCTATTTCCTCCACTACTGCCCAAAACAACAGTAAGTTAGACATTTGTACTGAAAGATATAGTGTGGTAGTTTGTTACAACGAACATGGACATTCCACTTTGTTCTGAATGGATCTTAAATGCATCGTCCGTTTTTCATACTCACATCAAAACTGCTTCTGAAAATAGCCCCAACTTATGTCAGAGTAATATTTACAAGAAACTACAGTTTAAGTAATTGTTAAGCCTTGTTTAAAAAAGAAAGCATACATTTGTAAAATATTTTAATTTTGTCCTTCACTGGAATATGTAGGATTGGAGTTGGGAACCATTAAGGTACAATAGAAGTCAGAGCGTTCAGAGATTTTGTTGATTTTGTCCTTTTCATGGCATGTCTTTACTGTAATACACAGCTTGTTAGTGTTATCCCTTAACATGCTTATATTATCTAGTGTGGAGCAAAGGTTGTGCAAAGAACCTGATTAGAAAAAAGAAAATCATTGTCTTTGCAAAAGTCCTCCTAAAAGTCCTCTCTATTGTTTCTCCCTGTGCAGCTGGGAAAGTTCAGAATGCTTCTGTTCACTGGCGAGGAAGAGGATCAGAGGATGCGCATGGAAAACAACTTCAGGCCCCCACAGCCTCTCAAAGGCAGGAAAGTGCGTTCCTCCAATTAATGTGACCTCAAGAGATCTGAAGTCGTAGATAACAAAAGCTCCTTGTAGACAATACTGAATGCATTAATTTGAGTGTACTTTTCACCTCATGGTAGCTTGTCCTGAGGATATCTGATTTGCTTTGTGCACAAGTTGAAGCAATTCTCATCATTGCCGGGATATGAAAATGCATGATTCCCTCTACTGGTCAGAAGTGTGAATGGCAGGAGGAGGAGGAATCAGTTATTGAATGAAAAAATAAAAGGGATTTTCTGATGCAATATAACAATACTCAAATTTAAGGATGAGTTGTTGAACAATAAAACTGCTGTATGTTAGTAGGTCATTATTTATTATTCTGAGCTATAAGTTGAGGATTCAAATGCTAGACATATATATAGATACCTCCATCGCTGTTCAAGGAAGTAAACGTGTTGCTAAGGCAACAAGGTGATACAACAACTAGCAGCAAGGCATTTCAGTTTGTTATTAGATGTTGCTGTTTGCAGATGGGTACTGTACCACTGTGCTGTCTGCAGATCCAAAGCCTTGGCCTTGTCACTGATCCCGATTGATCCCCTGCTGATCCAGCCTATTGCTGGTGGATTCCCAGTCCTTACGGCCAGATCCCGTCCAGTCAGATTACCACTGCATTTATCTAAACTGCTCTGTTGTTCCTGACTGAGGCCATGAAAGTCTCAGGTCCTTTCGAGCTCAAGAGCTTGAGATGTTGAAAGTTGAATTATTTGTGATTCATTAAAACTCCAGCAGGACCACAGTGAATTTAGTTCTTCAGTTGAACTCTGAATATTTGTCTTCCTTATTCTGAGATTCTGCCTGAAGCCGGTCACATATGTTGGTCTGGTGTTTTTGCTATGCAGGACGTGATGATGTAATGCACACTGTTATTAACAGCTCACCTGAACTCACAAAAAAAAAAAAAAGCACGTGCACAATCCTGTATATAAATGCCAGACAGAGGCCTTGGTTGGACTTCGTGAGTTATGGCAGCTTTGTGCAATGCTTATGCTTAATGTAGACGGACGGGGCTTTTATTAATGCAGGGGTATGACACAGATAAACAAAATGCACAAATGAGGAATGGCACCTCAGTCATGATTGTTTTATGTTGGTGATGTGAAAAAACAGCAAAAAAAATGTAATTTATGGGTGTTAAGAATATTTTTGTAATGCATTCAAAACTTTGCCATGTTTACTGAATTAAATAAAATTCAAAATAAAGTTTGCTGATTTTTCTTTTTCACATGAATAGGCTTGAAAAACCTCAACCACATTTACATGAACAGAACATAAGCGACTATCTGTACGTGATGTACAGGCTGCTGCTTCTGCCCTCAAACTCACACTTGAAATTCCAGATTTTGTACTTTCAGACTACACAAAGTTGTCGTTTCAAAACCAAATAAATAGCAGTTTGTGCACAGAAGGGCACGAGTGAACATTTACATTCTTTAAAAAAAAAAAAGCTTTGTTCACCTTCTTTATCGCAACTGAAATAACTGAACCATGTACCTGGTATCCACGATGTGTTTTGGAAGGAGGAGTCATTCGAGCAAATGTTTAAACTTACTCTTACTAAGCAGAAGTAGCAATAGTGGGTCAAGGTAATTAGTAGCCAGGTTGTAGCCTGAAGGGTGAGGGACGGAGAGAAGGAACATGTGGACTGTGATCAGTCAATTATTTACCAACTGCGTACACTGAACAGGTCTTAAATTCAAAATGGTCGAGTGTTTACAGTCAAAGACCTTCTCCAGGTATGTTTGAAGATATAGAACTATGAGGAATCCTGAGTGTATGAATGGGCAAAGATTTATTTTCTGTTACAAAGCAACTTTCAAGCTTCCATATCATATTTAATATTGAACCAAGGCTGGCTTTCTGTTTAGATGTGCTGCTGCAAATCTGTTCTCAGGTAAACGCTTTATAGCACAGAAAAACTTTTCACTTTCAGCGGAAGAATTTGAAATCAGTCTAGTGCACAGTCTGCACAGTGAAGGCCAAACATTCAAGAGAAGAATCACTGACCAAAAGACATTTTTGATGCGAGGGAAGGGGAAGGCCATCACACCTTTTATTCTTATATCTGACTTTTCCGACTCAAGGTCTTCAGACCATCAGATACTGTGGGAGAATAACTCAGAATCACACAAACAAAGAAGCAACTTTGGATTTAATAAGGAAATTACACCTTGAAGTAAAGTCTTAATTTATTTGCTAAAATTAAAAGTCTTGACACCAGAAATCAGGATAAGCTCTTCTCAATAAACAAGAAGGCGTTCCAAGGTCATTTTAAAATCTAAATTCAGTTTATCTATAACATGTGGCATCAATATTTGGCCAGCGGATGGAAAGATGGCAGTCCATTTTTAGGCTAAAATAATACCTGGTGTGTTCTTGTTTTTGATCGATGTGTAAAAATCAAAATCTTTTAACGAAAGCGAAAATTAGTTTACTGAATTTAACAGATTTATCATCGACAAGATCTTCATGAGTTTAAAAAAAAAAAAAAAGAAAAAAGTGGTAAAAACGACAGAAAGTATAACATCACTCTAAATTATTTTTTTTATTTTTTAAAAAACTGAGCCCAAATTTAATACAAGAAACTCAATACATTTTTACATGTGCCCCAATCAAACTGACACATTATTTAAGCACATATAATTTTCACAAAAATGGTGCTTATCAACACTTTAATGACAAATCTATGTTTTCTGCAGTACCTTGTTTTTCTATGCTGACATTCTGGCATTTATTTCCTTTCGCAGATGTATTTTAAAATAATTTTCACATTGTTTATGGTTCTCTTTTTGTGCAAACTACATATTGTGTTCAGCTTGTGCTGATCATCCTGTAGGTGGCAGCATTTACTGTCTTTTGTAGGAAGTGTAATGAGAACTGATTTGTCTTCTACCAACCACAAGGTTTTTGGAAAAAGAAAAAAAAAAAAGTAACAAAAAGCATAGTAGGGAACAATGCAATACATGGACACAGATTTTTGTGGGAAATAAACGATGCATAGATAATGGCTGACTACAGCAGAAATGCATCTTGCAACCAAGGACGCGGCTTTGTTTTTCTGTATCTCTATCAATAACACTTGACCTTGCCTTTGTCTGTTCTCCTCATCACTCTGCAAGTGTTGTTTGAATCACAAGGCTGCATTACCCCGCCTGGTTTCATTTCCATCTGATGGCTGTGGAAAAACTCATTTTAAAGGTTAATGAATAAAGACTGAAAGTGTGTGTGTGTTTGTGTGAAGTATATTTAACACATATTCTCAAATATTCCTTAAAATAGCATCAGTGAGTTTATTGAGACTGAGAATACCTGAGCGGGTACATCATCCTCAGCCACAATCGATGTGCCATGTAATAAAATATTAGTAGTCAGGCCTCAGAAATAGAGTCAGTCACATGTATTTTTAGCATCAGGATATCTACTTGCTTGTTGTAGTGATTTTTCCCAGACACAGCAACATTTGAGCAACATTGTGAAATACAAACCTGCAGGACAAACAAGCAGCAGAAAAAAGTTGCAGTTCAGACAAAAGAATGACCTAAGTTCTTAAGAGACTGGAAGAGAGATCTTCATATCTACATTATGAAAATACAGAAAAATGTATGAATTGTTGTGATTAAATTTCATTTATCATCTTTCATCGTCGCTGGCGACCTGTCCAGGGTGTCCCCTGCCTTTGCCCTAAGTCAGCTGGGATAGGCTCCAGCCCTTCCGCGACCCTCGTGAGGATTAAGCGTTGTATAGATAATGGAAGGATGGATGGACCTTTCATCATCATTGTTCTATCAGTGCCAAACACATCTACCCATCAACGACTTAAACATTTTTCAAAATGAAGTAAAACTAAGCTAATCAATACTTGTTCTGCATGCATACAAGTATAAAGTCTATCATTTAAAACATGGTAAATTCCTTTCAAGGGATAGTATTCTAATTTTACATGTCAAAATCAATTTACTAGTCCATCCATCCATCCATTATCTATACACCGCTTAATCCTCATTAGGGTCGCGGGGGGGCTGCTGGAGCCTATCCCAGCTGACTTAGGGCGAAGGCAGGGGACACCCTGGACAGGTCACCAGTCTATCGCAGGGCCACACTTAGAGACAAACAACCAAGCACACTCACATTCACACCTACGGACAATTTAGAATCACCAATTAACCTCAGCATGTTTTTGGACAGTGTGGAAGGAAGCCGGAGAACCCGGAGAGAACCCACGCTGCACAGGGAGAACATGCAAACTCCATGCAGAAAGATCCTGGATGTTCTCACCGGGATGCGAACTGGCGACCTTCTTGCTGTGAGGCAACGGTGCTAACCACTGAGCCACCTTGCAGCCCAAATTCAGTCCACAATAGCAATTAAAAAAAAAATAAAAATGCTAACCATGGCCTGTGAAATTATCCCAATCCAAGTAAAAGCCTTCAAAGCATTCAAAATGTTGCTTGAACAAAAGTATATAAATAGTACCAAAATGTGCTTGAAACATCAAAGTAAAAGTACTAATGTGGGAAAATGGCTTCTGCCAATACTGCCAATATTGTATCTTAACACGTTATTGAATTATTTTCATGGATGCATTAATGTGTACACAGCATTTTAGGTTGCAGCTTGTTGCAGAAAGAACTAAATTTTATGTATATACTGCCGAGTAGATTACACTACAGCAATGCACAATCGCCTCATAAGTGAATCTACAAAGTCCCAAGTCAATTTAACTGAAAAATAAATGCAAAGAAGTAAAAAGTACAATATTCCCTCATGTGATGACATAGATAACACAGCACAGAATGCTTAGCACAGACACCTCAAAACTGTAACTAAGTATATGTACTTGACTAAATGTTCTTAGTTACATTCCAGCAGAGCTCCCCCAGCTTTACAGTTTCAGAGAAGTGAGGACACAAACAGGGGTAAACACAAGACGTTATCGGTTTGGTCTGTGGGAAGTGCGGGATCCAGGGTGTAGCTCACAACAG